TTCCTTACTTTGCATACATGGGGGATTGCACCATTGCACATTGAAACGGTAAAATGAATTCTCAAAAAGATAAATGTTGTAATTTCCAGAATTTTGCCAAGGTTTTAGTGTATTCTTTCTCAGCTGCAGTAGCAGAGCTTTCTAATTAGAATGCTTTTCATTATGACCTTTTCTCTTTTTTCCTTCTGCCAGAAAACCTTCTTGCTGCTGAGGTTCTGTGTCAAAATGTAACTTTTGCAGAACATTATAAATTTATTTGGGAAGACAAGAACATTGAGCAAGTAAATGTCACTGTCTTCCTTGGAAGCTTATGTGATGGAGGTATCATGACATTTCTTTTATGATTTTTGATTTATTTCTTTGTGTTCTGTATGAAAATTCTGTGATAGAATCTCTTATTTAACAATTATTCTTAAAAATAATTTCCCTCAGACTCTAGAAAGAAAATTATGGGGCTGATTTCCATTAATTTGTGTGATTTGAATCTTCTGTCACTAATGAAAGACAGTAGTCTGTACCCCACATAGAACATACATTTTGCTAATTTACTTATTTAAAAGTCATGCTTTTTTCTTTTACCAGAAATCCTGACACAGAGATTCACAGTTGAATTTCTAAGTTTAAGCAGTACTAATGGAGAGGAACTGTTTGAGAATCCAGGTATAAATACTTTATTTTGCCCATTAAAAGTAAAAAAAGTTGGTACTGTACAGATTCTTATCAGTGTTTACATTTTATATTTCTTTTGTACTTCTTTATGTTGCCAGTCTTCACCTTCCTGCCTTACTGCACTGCCAATAGCAGTGAGCGGTTCTTAGGCTTTTGTTGCATAGATATTGATTATTTAAAGTGAGGCCATTCCCACTGTAATGGAAATGTCATTTGCTTCAAGACTGATGGCATTTAAAACAGCGCTAATGTTTATAGGTTCTTCTACAGGGTTCATAATTTACCCTTCTCTGTTTAGGGTATCAAGTTGGAAAACCAGTGAGAGCTGCAAATCTGAATGCTTCTGATCCTCTTGGAAGCCTAAACATTTGGCAGCCAGGTATTGCCTTGTGAGGTTGCAACTTCAATTTAGTTAATGCTAAAATGTTGGAGCTTTATTTGGTTTTTGGATTTTTTTAAACATATTTTAGTTAAAAATCTCTGCCAGATTTTGCTTTTCTTTCCCAAACTTTCAAAGGTCAGTGAGAAAACCTTTAATGCTTTCTTGGAAAATTGAATGGACTTGTATCTGTTTTTGAACTCTACCATGCTGAGTTTGCATTCTAATTTTGATGTTTTGCACAAAATTGAAAGCTAGAGATCCAGAGGTGGATAATAGGAAAGCTCAAGTAAGATGTTTTCATTTCACAGCTGGCAGAGGTTTATGTGCATCAGCAACTTACAGACCAGTTCTGTTTGGAGTAGACTCATACTCGGGGTGCATTCTAGAAGTTGATATTAATGAAGATTGCAGCTTTTTAAGGTGAGCTACACAAGCTGAATTGTTTATCCCTGCTTCATCCCTATTGTTGATTGTTACATGACTGCCCACGAATGCCTCCCATCAGCACTGGTACATTCTTTTTAAATATTTATGTGTATGTTTCAGCTTTCTGTGGTTAATAGTCTCACTTCTGTTTTTCATGGGAAATCAATAATAGTTTCACTCTTTACTCAAATGAGGATTGTGTTGGCTGCAATACTTTGCCGTTTCTTCCCTTCAACAGTGCAGGTTTATTTTTGTTGTGTGATAACATCTTTCAGATGAAACTGACCTTAGGATACAGTAATATTGCAACCCAGAGTGGTAAGACAGTACAGATTTACATTCTGTGTGATGTTACATTCTTACTTTGCAGAGGAAATGTGACTGAGAAATTGAATGCATTAATACAAGCTACTCACATTGGAAAGAGGGACAATTCCAGTTACAGTGATCTAAATGACTGGGTGGAAATTATACGTAAGTGAAGCTTGTGTTGTTCTTTCTAATTTAAATATGTCCATACAATAAATAAAGCGTGTCAAAATAAATCCAAATTGTAACTTCAAATACCTAAAGCTAGTGATATGTATCTCTGCATCCATCCATCCATATATGTGTACACACAGGCACATAGTTCACTATGTCTGTGGATACTGTTTGTTTTGCTGCCAGCCTGTACACATATGACTTGGTAGTTATCCATTGATAAATTACTCCTTTAGGTGTTTTATATTGAGAGAAACATTTTTAATGTGTTCCTGTGTGACAGTTACCAGCATTTCACTGGGCTATGAGAATAATCTAATTATGGAATATATAGTGTTTTCCATAATACTTACATTTAAATCCCTCTGTTCTCCTTCATAGGTCTTGATCCTTTTCCTTCTAATGTGAGCACCAGAGGCTTAAAAGGCATTTGTCCAGATATTCCTGCAAACCTGAATATTCGCATAATCTTTGCTAAAGTGGGAGCAGTGCAAGGGATTCCCCAGCAGCAGATTCTTGCTGTGCAGATCAGGTAAAGTGAGTTGTGTCTCTGTCTATCTGACAAATAAATGCTTCATTTTAAGCCTTGCTTACCTAACATATCCCAAATTAATTTTACAAACAAAAAAGGTAGTTTTTATTGCTGGTTTTTTACATGCCTTTCACTTTGCAACCCAAATTCCTTCGATCGCAACCAGGTTAGCCTATCACCCTCTGAAATGAAAATTAAAGAAAAAAAAAAGAATTATTAAAAGCAGATAATCTTTATACTTCACTGAAATATTAAATAAAAGACATGATGCTGCCAGCAGCAAGCATACACATGACATCTCATCAGGAGTCACATGGTGGAAGCAACAAGATTGTCCTGTGTTCTGGCTTACCCCATTGCCAAGCTCTTGGGAGCTGAGCTAAATGCTTTATTCTTTCCTGAAACAGGGAATTTTCACTCTGCAAACACTTCCCCTCCCTCCACCAAGTCAATCCCTATAAAATGAGATTCTGTTCCATTTTACCTCATTTCAAGACTGTGCAAGTTCCCCCCTTGTACGATGTGGAAAATCCAGGGATTATCAACCTCCTCATAAACACTGTGTTTTTTCCTTTCCTGCTTGTGTTTAGGATCTAAACCTCCATTTCCAGCCCTCAAGCAAAGTTATGCTCTTTGTTACAGTTACTCAACAGTCTTATGGGAGTTCCAGTGTGGGCTTGGCTGCAAAAACACCCTCAGCTTTCTTTCCATCACAGCTTCTGTTCAGTTCATTGAAGTCCCAGCTCAGCCACCCCCTCCAGTGACAAGGTAGTTTTGGTAAAAACATTGATAACCTCCCATTATGTTCAGCAGATGTAATGTGAATTGCATTGACCAAAAGGTTCCTTTTTTCCAGGTATCAGAAGATTTATGCAGAGTTTGACTGCAATCGAAATGAGGTGTGCTGGCCACAACTCCTTTATCCACTGACACGCTTTTACACAGGTAAAATAACAATGTGGGATGCCACAAAACAGGAAAGGCCATATTTCTTTGAAACATTGTTAGATGTGGGGAGTTTAGTATGAAAGAATGCTTTTGCATACACTTTAATCTGCATCTTTGGGTTTTTATAGAAACTAAAATTTAGCCCTCACACACTTATACTTTTTTTTTTGTTGTTGTTGTTTGTTTGTTTTCCAGGAGAACCATATTCCCAGTGTCTTGCTAAAGGCCTGTTTCTGGCATTTCTTGTTTTACTTGCAGCAATTATGAACAACCCTTGGTTTTCTAAATTATGGAACAGATAGGTAAAAATTACAGAGAAACATTGTTGGATTTTGTAGACAATTTATGTAAACATTTAAAGACACACAAAATCAGTACTTCTACAGCATACAGAAAATGTCTGTTACTAAAAACAAAAACTAATAAATTATTTTTAAGATTTAGACTCTGTATTTGGAGTAGCAAAGTGCAGAGTTGACTTCAAGAAGGTGGTGAGTCCAGCCCAGAGGCTGCAGTGGGGTTGGGATTGTCCTCATGGATGGACAATCCTCTCAAGCTTGGTTCTCTTCTAGAGTAGGAGCCCTTATTGACAGGAAGCCCCTTCTGCCCACCTATTTTTGGAGCTGTGGGCAGACTTTTCACTCTTCTGAGAAGTCATAGCCCTTCAGCTGTTTTCATGTGTTGATCTGAAATTCTCTTTCCTAGTTCATACTTTGCATTGGCAACCTGCTGTGTCTGTGCGCAGGGCGCAGAAAACATTTACTTATTGTCCTTAGCTGATGAAACATATTTGGCATTTTCTTGTGGTCCACAAAGTTGAGAACTGGAGCAGTTCAGCTGACATGCTACCCCTGGGGATGTTCAGCCTGGAGAAAAGGGTGTGCGGAGACCTCACAGCAAGCTTCCAGTATCTGAAGGGGCCTACAGGGCTATGGAAAGGGACTCTTCATCAAGAATTATAGAACAGGACAAGGAGTAACGGGTACAAACTGAAATAAGGGAAATTTACGTTAGATATTAGGAAGGCATTTTTAATGTGGGGGTGGTGAGACACTGGGACAAGTTGCCCGGTGAGGTTGTGGATGCCAAGCCTGGCAATGCTCAAAGTGGAGCAACCCGGTCTGGTGCGAGGTGGGCAGGAAGGGTTGGGACTGGGTGTTATTAAAGTCCATTCCAAGCCCACGCTGTGTGGCTCTGGAGGCTGGCGCTGTGCAGGGCCAGGAGCTGGGCTCGATGATCCTTTTCATCCCTTCCGGCTCAGCATTTTCTGTGATTCTGTTACGTTCTCTCACTCCTGCATTTCCCCCTCTCACACAGCAGCCTCTCAGCGGCTGCCAGCGCGCCGCTCGCCGTTCCCGGCAGCGCCCGAGCCCGGCCCGCCTCTCCGCCGGTTGGGGCCGCGTTCTACGCTCGTTCCCGGTCCCGGAAGCGGCGGCCGGGTCCGCCCCGCCCCGTTCGGGTCCGCCCCGCCCCGTTCGGGTTCCCCCCGCCCCGCTCGGGTCCGCTCCCGCCTCGCTCCGCCCCGCCATGGCCGCCCCCGGGCCGCGCTGAGCCCCCGCGCCGGGAGCCCCGGGCCGCGCCGCCGCCATGGGCTCGCTGTTCCGCGGCGAGCCCGTGTGCCTGGCGCAGCTCTTCCTGCAGAGCGGCTCGGCCTACGAGTGCCTCAGCGAGGTGGGCGAGTGCGGCCTGGCCGAGTTCCGAGACGTGAGTACCGCCGGGGCGCTCTGGGACAGCGCGGGGACCCTGAGGGGCCGAGCCGGGCCCGGGGCCGCTGTCCGGGAGGTGTGGGCTTGGCCCCGGTGGGGCGGTGGAAAGTGCTTTTATTCCCGTCTTTGCCCGGCTCCGACAGGCAGGTGTATGGCCCGTCCCTGAAGGCAGCCTCACAGAATTGTTAGGGTTGGAAGGGATCTCTGGAGATTGTCCGGTCCAACCCCCGGGCAAGGCAGGGTCACCCAGAGAGGTGACACCGGAGCCCAGGTGGGTGGGATGAGAGATGGGAGGTCAGTGTGGAGCCCCGGCCTCCCCGGCACTCTCGGGGGGAATGCTTTGGCATGGCTGCATCCCCCCTTTCTCACAGAAGTAGCTTAAACTTGAGGTTATTTGCACCGAGATCCCACGGGAGAGCCCCCGACCCACCTGCAGCCTCATTGCCTTCAGCCTGAGCGTGTGTGCGCAGCTGATGCATCCATCCACCCCACTGACAGACCGAGAGAAACACCTGCTCTGTGGGTTTATTGATCACAGGTTCCTGTTCCTGGAGGGATATTTGGCCTTGGAGGAAACTCCCTGCCCGCCTGCCTGCCATAAGGTTGGGTTGGGCAGTAATTAGCCACGTCTTTGCGTTGTCTCATCATAATTATATGCTCCTTCCTTGCTGACTGAAACTTGGAATGTCTTCATATCAAATATACGTTAGAAATGTAGCTTGCAAAATCGCTGCAGGGAAAGCTGGGAAGACTTAAATTAACAGCTAGTTAGTAAATATGGCAGGGAAGAGGAGGCAGATCTGTAAGAATGGTTACATGAATGTATGCTTAACATTTTGATGTCATTCTAGTTACCTGATACACCATTTATTTTAGAAATAATGCATAGTAGTTCTGATTTAATAGCTGGATAACAAGTCAGAAATATTGCATGTTCATATTATGGGTATGTATGTAAAATGTAATGTTTCAAACAGACTGTGGAAATGTATCACAAAAAAAATGTAAAATGGTTTGTTAATTTGAAGTCATTAAGCAACATTTTAAAACTATTGAAATAACATTGGGAATGGTTTCTCCAGTAGACCTTGTTATTTTGTTGTTTGATTAAAACTAGCCAATGGCGTGGATAATTCTGCCTTAATAAAGCCAACTTTGCTATTTGAAGACTTTGTAATCTTTTTAGGTTTTTGTGCCTTCTCAACTGAAAATCACTTAGAGCACAGAGCTCATGGAAATTGTCTCCAGGAAGTTGAAGGAACAGCTGTGTTTTTTTAGGGGAGGTTACTATTTCAAATCCCTAATATGCATTTTGTCCTTCTTCTTCAGCTTAACCCAAATGTAAGTGTGTTTCAGAGAAAATATGTGAATGAAGTGAAGAAATGTGAAGAAATGGAAAGAATACTTGGTGAGCTTTATTGTCATGTCTGCTGTTTCTCACCTGTGGCATTACCAGAGTGACACTACTGTGAACGTTTCAGCTACAGGTTTTTTTATCCTTCCCAGGTTCTGTAAGCTGTGAAATTTACTTACACTAAATATATTATAATATTTTAAGCTCAGAGGTAAAGAACGGTTGCTAATGTGTTGCTGATAAATAGATGAGGCTGTTTCAGTGTTTGCTACTTAAGACTCTGCAAGGAAAAGGGAAGTTTTATTGTGGATATCTCCTTGACTTTAAGATATACCCTGTTTTTTCATGTTGTATAACTCAATACTGTTGATTTTCCAGGCACCCTCAAAAAAACTTCAAGTTATTAATAATTGTGTTTTCATGGTAGTTAATGAATAGAGAAGGGTATGCAGAGCATTACAGCCAACATGCAGATGTCTTCAGTGTATCCTGAGGAAAAGTTGCAATTGAAGGATTCCTTTGATTGGAATCTCTCATCAGAGGCATGTGCTGGTTGTGCCAGCAGCTATTTTGGCAGTCCCCCTGCCCAATGTGAATTGCATTTGTTGTCAAGGTTGCTTAAGCTGCTTTGTTTGAACACTTTTTATGCTAAACATGGATCAGTGAGCAGCACGACTGTTTCTGGCAGAAGTGATACACAATTGCACCATTAGTAGAAAGTGACACAGTGCAGCAACAAAGAGGTTCTGTGAAATGGTAAAAGCTTCTTAGAAAATACTTGGGAAAGGGAAGGCTCTGAAGTTTGCTTGCTTCTGCAGACTTCCAAGGCAGGAATAGTTTGTGTGTTTTATCCCCACCACTCTTTAAGTTCTTGTTTTTTGAAGACTTCTTGTGTGTGCATTGTTGCTAAAGTGAGTGAATAAAATAGCCAGGGCTTGATGCTGCAGTGTGATTAGCACCATCAAGAGCAGTTGAAGGTCAACTCTGCAGCACTCTGGGAAGTGTAGGAAATGCAGTTTCCATTCTGATTCTGTTTTTCTTCTCACTCCAGGGTATTTAGTACAAGAAATTAAAAAAGCAGATATTCCACTTCCTGAAGGAGATGTTGCTCCTCCTGCCCCCTTGCTGAAACACATTTTAGAAATCCAGGTAACTTCCACTAAACATTTGCTGTTTTCCTTTTTGTCTGATTCCTTGCTGCCAGTGAGGTTTTGGTAGTAACACAAAATTCCTGTGAAAGGGTCAAAGCAAACTCAGGGAGCGTGCAGTAGTCATCCATTGTATTTTGATGCATTAGCACATCACACTGTTCCAGGCAGATTATCTGTAGATGTGGTCCCTCAGCCTCATTTATTGCTTTGGTACTTACCTAAGGCTCTGTGCATCCAAAATTTCCAGGTGTGCTGGAGTTTTACTTGCCCAAGGCTCTGCAGGTGCTGGCCATACAGCAAAACGTGGTGCTGCTTTCTCTGAATGCTTTTTCTGGTGTTGTGTTCGATTAGAAGTTTGTAAAACACAGATCTAATTTTGAGTAAAATTCTGTTTTGTTTTAATTGTATTAAAAGAATAAATGGATATCTTCCACCCTGTGCTATCTGCAGTTCTACTTCCAGGTCTGCATTATTTTGACACAAATTAGGGGCAGAGCAGTAGGCTCAACAGATGCCAGTGGAGGATCAAGTGTACTCAATACAAAGCAATCCTTGGCAGACTAGAGATAAAACCTATGGAGCTTTAGTTAATTAAGCAATGGGAAACTCTTGTCACTGTGTCAAATTATTATGTGTTGAGAATGCATGCTCCAAAATCCTGTAACTAATGCTGTGTCTTTTCTTTACTCTGTGTCTTAGGAACAGCTGCAGAAGTTGGAGACAGAATTGAGGGAAGTAACTAAAAACAAAGGAAAATTGAGGAAAAACTTGCTTGAATTGACAGAATACAAGTACATGTTACAGATCACACAGAATTTTGTCAGGAGAACACCTGAGGTATTGCTTGGGGTGTTTGTCAGGGATTGTTGTCATGTGGCATTTTTGTGATTTTCCCCATTGAATTGTTTGAAAATGAAGGTGTAATTGTGTTATTTTGGTGCATAAATTGTGCTAAGAAATTTACAGTGTAATTTTGCAGCACTATAATTGTTAAGAGCACTGCACTTGAGATCCAGGATCTCTCTGTTGCCTGAATTGAACACAGAAATGAGTTTTTTATTTTTAGTTAAACCGTTTACCTAATTACCTTTTCTTCTTTAGAATAATAATGGAATGGGAGGGGTTTGTTTTCCTGAAAGCAATTAATGTTTTTTGTTTTTTTTATTATTTTAATTTTCTAGCATGAATCCTATTTACATGGAAATTTTGAAGAATTTTCTTCTGTGGAAAATGAGCCATTGGTGGATTTAAACTGCACGCACAGACTGAGTACCTCACTGGGGTGGGTATGGCATGTGCTGTTTCAGAAGTGCTTGATGAGGGGTTGTAAAGAATTGGTTGTTCTCTTAAAAGATGGCCTGTAGTGATTTCAGGTGTGCCAAACAGTTTTAGACAGGACAGGAGCCTGGCCCCACTGTACCTTTGTAACAAACCCAGATTATTTCAAGAGATAAACAGGACAGTGCCCAAAAAAGCTGTTACAAGCTTCCATCAAACCAAGGATGTGTGTAAAGGAAAATCTCTAAATCAATACTTCCTTCTATTGTTTAAACTCTTTTTCTGTGATAAACACAGTGTTTTAATCACCTGGTGGTGTCAGTTGTAAATGTAACATTAATTGTGTTGCTTTTGAAATGCTGAATGGATACTGCTGTCTATGGCATTGTTATAAGAGGCTGTCTTCCAAGAAGAAAGAAATAATCTCATTGTCACATCAATAATTAATTAGAAGTAATTCTAGTTGTGTGCTCAGGTCTGTAGCCTGTTTATTTTGCAAATAGTTTTATATACTAGCTGGTATTTTCTATTCCAGTTACTTCCTGTTCATGGTGATGCTTCCTTCCCTAGCCATGGCAGATACTAAATTATTGTGGTGATGTATGTTGAATTTAAAATTTTTTTCTTGTAAATTTTATCTTCTATTTCAAATTTTTCCTTTTCCTAGATTCATATCTGGGTTAGTTCACATTTCAAAGATTGAAGCATTTGAAAAAATGCTGTGGAGGGTCTGTAAAGGCTATCCCTTTCTTACCTATGCAGAGCTGGATGAGGCTCTGGAAGATCCAGATACAGTGAGTAAACACTGTAATGATCAGTTTATTTCATTTGTACTTTTCATATGATTTGGAAGAATTGCTGCTCAGGTCTGTCTGCAGTAAATGGAAATGATTTCCCAGTGTCCTTAGAGGAAAAACTGTTTTGAACTATTAGAATTTGTAACATTTTAAAATTCAAGGTTGTAGAAGTGGCAATTAATTGGTCATGGTTCAGCTTGAGGAACTTCATTGTGGAATAGTGATGACTTTATGATTGGCCACCTTGGTCAAAATACGTGACAGAAATGGCTGCTTGGATGTTTATTAACTAGGTCTGCACAGTACATTGCCTTTTAATAGCCATTTCACTTGTTCATTCAGTAGCTAAGAAAGAGTCAAGTACAGCTAGTTTTCTGTGAAGTTTTTAATGCGAACTTACAAAATTAATTTTTTGTAAATCAGTTATGGCAGCCTAATCTGTTGCTTTTTTTTTTTCTTCTAATTTGTTACCTTTTTAAAATACTCTTTTCTTACTAAGAATTCTGAGATAGTAAAATGTAATGTCTTTGATTTTCACTGGAAAGTTTTTCTGCTTTTCTCTAATATTAAAAAAAAGTGATATTGACACAGTTGAATCTTTTGATCTTCACTTAACGGATGGAAGATTAATGCTACAAACAGTTTTATTACTTACCTGTATAATTATGTCACAGTGGAATTGCTAGTTAAAATATAATTCATCAGCCTTACTTTTTGTGGTTTTTTAGGGTGAAACCACAAAGTGGGCTGTTTTTTTAGTGTCCTATTGGGGCGAACAAATCGGTCAAAAAGTTAAGAAGATTTGTGACTGGTAAGAAGTAAATCTCTGTACATTCCTTTATACCTGGGGTATTTTCTAGTTGGTTTTTCTCCTGCACCCCTGTCTTATAAGCATTGATTTTTAGACAAGGTTTTTTATGTTAAATTTGTTTCTCCCCTTATTGCATCCAGCTCTATAATTACGCAGTGTACAAATAAATATATGAGTCATTTTGCTTGCAGTCTTCACCAAGTACAGGCAAAATACTGCCTCTGAGTTGAATCTGTTCTGTGGTTATTTAGTGATATGTTGCAAATTTGGCTGTGGCAGGGGGTTGGGTGTTGTATTTTGGTGGAGTTTGGTCATTTAACACAGCCCTGGGTTCCTGCAGCTATCGCTGTCACGTGTACCCCTACCCCGATACCACCGAGGAGCGCCAGGCCGTGGTCGAAGGACTCAATGTTCGTATTCAGGATCTTGAAACTGTGAGTAAAGAACAGATTTCCTTTTGCTGGAGCTGTTGCACCCTAGGAAATAATTTGATGAATCACAGTGTTAAATATGATTTCTAACATACGTACAACTTTGGAGCTGATGAGACAGTAAGTTGTGTTCCTGGTCTCATGTTGCACATATTGGTTAAACCTCACAGCACGTGGCATTGCCTTCTGTTCTCAGCAGACGTTTGCTTGCCCTCCTAAGAACGTGGCCCAGCACTGGACACGTACGAGGTGCTCTTGCTGTGGTCAGCACAGCCACTGTCACATTCTCAGTGACATCTTTGGTTTTTTTCTCAAACAAAGGTGCTGAATAAAACTGAGGAATACTTGCGCCAGGTCTTGTATAAAGCATCGGAATCCATCTATACTTGGGTTATCCAGGTGAAGAAGATGAAAGCCATTTACCACGTCCTTAACCTGTGTAGTTTTGATGTCACAAATAAATGTTTAATTGCTGAAGTTTGGTGTCCATTGGCTGATCTCCACAAATTGCGCCATGCATTGGAGGAAGGCTCGGTAAGTCACCTGAATACTCAATGATGTTTAAGATTTTATCTTGAACTAACTATACGCATAAGGAAAGAAAATAATTATTAACAATAGACTGAAAGTAGCCACAGACAGATGTGGGTCTCTGTATAAAACAGTTTTTTTATGAGCAGAGCCTTTATTTAGTGTTGTGTGTAGTGGTTTTTTTCCCTTGAATAACTTCTGTATTGGACCTGAGTCCAACTGGGCCCACAGTGCTATTTGCAGTCATGCAGAAGGTGCCAGTTCCCTTGCATTGGTTTTTATTTTATGGGAGAAAATTTGTAATAACTGATCTTTGTTTTATAATATTGTTACTGATAAGTCTCATCTGATACTTGATATGAAGAATTAGAACATTGTGCATAATCTGTTTTTAGAGGGAGTACAAAGGGGTAAATGTTAAACTTGGGGCTTAATTTAATGGTATTTTTGGATCAGTGAAACTGCTGATAGAGCAAATGTTTTCACTTTGATTAGATTAACAGAGGTCTTACACAAGTGTATCTTCTGTCTGTAATTAGAGGAAGAGTGGAGCTGCAATTTCATCATTCATGAATACCATCCCAACAACACAACCTCCTCCGACTTTGATACGTACCAATAAATTCACCTCAGGGTTCCAGAACATCGTTGATGCTTATGGAGTTGGAAGCTATGGGGAAGTCAATCCAGGTTGGTCCTTCTGAAAGTGAGCTGTGCTGTCATTGCTGCTTGCCTTGATACCTTGCTGAATTGGACACCAGCAAAGGCCAATTGGTGACAATCATACTGCTTGTTAGTAGCTGTTTTAAAATTTCAGTAGCTCATCAAAAGTGCAAACAGTGCTCCAAGCAGCAAGATGGGATTTGGTTTTGTAGTTATTTTAGCATGAAAGGTAGTGGTAATAGCTGTGTAATTTTTCTTTTATATGTGTTATTTTGGGTAAGGAAAATAGAAAGAAATAGTAAGAAAACTTCGGGGAAAAAAAAAGAAAACTGGTAATGGTAACTGATCTTACTGAAGTGTGGAGCTCATCACTTGAAAAATCCATCTTGTTGTATAGCCCACTTTAATATGTACTTGTAGCTATGTTGACTGCGTCATTCTGCACAGGAGAATGTACCATATAGTACAGACCTGAAATAGCCACAAAGGAAGGACTACTTGGTTGGGTTTTATTTTCTGGGCTCATATTATTATTCTCAGAATTGTGAGCTGCTGCTCAACTGTGAAGTTATCACTGCTACACAACAACCAAACTTTAAACTGAGTTAATTTTACAGTGTTGGGGAAAGGTCTATGAGTAGGGGATGAAATATCTTTCAAACTTAAACTTTGAGAGATTTAAGTACGGGATTGCTTGGGGATAATGCAGACAGAACATCATCTGTTGTGCTGTGCCTGAAATCTGCTGTGTTACCCTTGCAGCTCTCTATACCATCATCACTTTCCCCTTCTTGTTCGCGGTCATGTTTGGAGACTTCGGGCACGGGCTGCTCATGTTCATATTTGCACTCCTGACAATACTGTATGAAAACCACCCTAGGTTAAAAAGAGTGCAATATGAGGTAAAAGGAATTACAAATTATTTACTTCCCATCCAGCCAGATCACTTGAACAGTCACTGTTTTTTGCATGGGTATTTAATTAGGGGTTTTTCTGTTCTTTTAGGATTTTCTGTTTTTAAAGCCCACATATTCCTTGAGATTAATGTAATATTTAAACTATTCACTTTCCTTGAAAGAGCAGAAATAATCAAGTTGTAATGAAATACTTAGAAAAAATTGATGCTTTTAAGCTTGTCTTTCATTCCACCAGGGCTACTCATGTGATGTGTTTTACAGAATATCATTACAGTGACAATGTGAAGAGAAAATGATTTTTCAAATTCCACCTTTTATTGTTTATAAGAAGAGTTGTAGTTTGAAATTTATTAATCTTCACTTCAATTTTTTAATCATACTGGTTGGAATGCAGGAACAACTGCATCTCTCATTAGAATTATGTTCATTAAGAATGCCTGCAAATATGTAATTTCTTGTAAAGTAGTCCCAGGAAGGAAGTGGCTTAAAGAGAACCTTCCTTAATGTAAGGACGCAGGTGATAAAAATCTGTGTGTGCCATGGGAGCTCATATTCCTTAACGACTGTTCACAAATAAGTTTTAGAAGTCTTTGTGTCCAAAAATGTGGTTCTTTTAGACCTATCTAGCTAACCTTTGCTCACATAACAGATGATATTCTCTACTTTCTTTTTTTCCCCAATACTGACAGATAATGAAAATGGTATTTGAAGGCCGATATGTGATATTGTTAATGGGGCTGTTTTCTATATACACTGGATTGATCTATAATGACTGTTTTTCAAAGTCAATAAATATATTTGGATCTGGATGGAGTGTTTCAGCAATGTTTGAACGGAAGGTTTGGAGGTGAGCAGCATGTTTGCTATTCCATTAAGCCAGAGATATATTTCCTTCAGCAGTTTAACCTTTTTGTTCACATGTTTAACTATCCTGTTACGGTTTGTCTTTACACTGATGTTTTAGTTTATATTTTCCAGGTGTGTGTGTGTGTATATAAAGATTTTCAGAGGAATAGAAAACACAGGTCTAGTTTTGGATTTATTTGTCCTAGGTCATGCTTCTGGAATGTATATCTGAGTAGCATTAGCCTCTACTGAAAGGGATTAACTATTAATGAAGTAAATTAATTACCTGTCAATCATTAGTCTCTGCACAGCTTTTCTTGACAGTAAAAAAAAAAAAGAAAATGGTCTATGTGAATTGTCAAATCTACTTTTTCTCAGAGTGGGATAACCTCACTGATTTGAGGTATCATGACCCTTTGGTATATAGATGTTCACAGCTTGCTTTTAACGGTGCCTTACAAAACAGGATGTGGCTTCAAATAATCAAGACCACTGGCACTGGTTAAAAATTGAATGGGTTGTGTGTGCTGTGGTAATGAAAAACTAAGTGAAAATTTAGTAGAAACTTCCCCAAATGCAAAAGGGAAAAAAGGTAGCAAATATTCTTTGGGTGTTTGACAATGAATTTTATGCAAAAGCAAACTGTGAACTTCTAAAATAAAACTTTGAGTTCTAGGGGAATGTGGAATAAAATCCATAAACTTTGTTTTGGAAGATAGTGAATGTGAATCAAGCCCAGATTGTGAGATTCTAGGTGTTTTATGTTGCTATTGTTTGTTTTAGTCAGGATTTTTGTGCCTAGAAGTCCTTTCAAAGCATGACGGGGTGGGTTAGGTAAAGGAAAGCAGGAGCAGTGTCCTGCAGAACTGGAAGTATGTTGTCATTATGTTTCAAGTGTCAAATCTGAGTGTGTTTTTCTTTCACTACAGCCTTGAGGACCTGAAATCTAATCGATATTTAGTGCTGGATCCAAATGTTTCTGGTGTCTACAATGGAGTTTATCCCTTTGGAATTGATCCGGTTAGTTTCATTCTTTCTAATTATCCACTTGTGGTTTATTCTTTCTGTTATGTTGTTCTTCAATGCTGGTTTGGTGTTTTCTTCTTCAGATATGGAATTTGGCAAGCAACCGCCTCACTTTTTTAAATTCATTCAAAATGAAAATGTCTGTGATCTTTGGAGTGACTCACATGACATTTGGAGTTGTATTGGGGCTGTTTAACCACTTGTAAGTACAAGAAGTTAAAATAATACCAACACTTTTTTTGTCAAGTCTGGAATTATAACATATTCTCTTAGTCTTGTAAGTGAAACTGGAATTATTTTTTGAGAACAGAATAAGAGTAACTGTGAAAATCGTTCTTAAAAAAAGACAATAATGGAGAAGTCTTCAAAAATGTAAGATGATGGTTCAGTACTGTGCTAAAAAATCCCAAAACACATTAATACAAGACTTTCATTTCACTTCTTGGTAAATACAGTTACGTGCCTCTTACAGTTTTTGTTTCCACTATAACACCTGGTAAAATTTCACTGAAGAAAAGGAAATCAGTTTTGGATTGTAATCTCAGTCTTGCTGTTTAAAAGTCATTTATTTTATTGAAATCATATTTGGGCTGTGTTGGTAAAACTTTTATTTTTTTCTCCATTTCAATTTTTCAGGCATTTCAAGAAGACCTATAATATTTATTTGGTTTTTATTCCTCAACTTCTATTCATGTTGTGCATATTTGGCTACCTGGTGTTCTTGATCTTCTTTAAATGGTTGGCGTACTCTGCAGAGGACTCTGCAGTTGCCCCCAGTATTCTGATACAGTTTATTAACATGTTCCTGTTTCCTGGTAATGAAACAAAGAGCTTCTTCAGTGGCCAGGTGAGTAATGCTCTTCCAAGCTTTTTGGGAATCCTATGTTCCCTATGCAGATAATACTTTAAAGGAAAAAGGGAGGGCTTTTCCTACTTCGGATTTTGTGATCTAATCTAATTTTCCTTCCCCCCCAACAGATTCCTCTGCAGAAGTTTTTACTTTGTGTTGCTTTTTTTTGTGTTCCTGTAATGCTGCTTGGTAAACCACTTTATCTCTACTGGTTGCACAGTGGAGGCCAAGGCATAAGAATGTACAGGGTAAGTACTGAAAGACACACATTTCCTCAGTGTAGAATTCAGCTGCTGTTTTGCTGCACAGGGTATGTCCTTACTGGGTATTTCATGGAATGGGTTGGGTTGGAAGGGAACTTAAAGCTCATCTCATTCCATCCTCTGCGATAGGCAGGGACACCTCCCACTATCCCAGGTTGCTCCAAGCCCCTCCAGCCTTGCTTTGGACACTTCCATGGATGGGGTAGCCACAGCTTCTCTGGGCAAACTGTGCCAGGGCCTCACCACCCTCATAGGAAAGAACTTATTTCTATATATCTAACCTAAATAAGCCCATTACTCCTTGTCTTATCAGTTTCTGCTCAATTTTGGACAGTTTTGGACTGAAACACATAGTAGTACTTTGTTCCTCTAAATTTTTTTGTCTTTGCCTGTGACTACTTTAAGTAAACTTAAAAAATGACAGTGGCAGCCTGCTTGAAGACACAACACATTCCCATTTTGTAGAGCGGCTACAAGCTTATCCGAAAAGAAAGTGAAGAAGAACTTTGTCTCCTGTCATGTCATGATCTTGAAGAAGGAGTCAGTCATTCAGACAGCGGGCACAGGGAGGGGGATGCAGAGGAGGTAACGTTTTCACTTAATCTCTGGTTTGTATGTTCTTAAAAACAAATTAGAAGCGAACAATCAATAGATAACCTGTACACTGTGTGCTGAGAAGTTTTGAAGAAACTCAGCTGAGCCTTTACAAAGAACTTGGTGTCCAAAAGCAGTTTCCTTATAGTTAATTGTTGCTATTTTATCATTGTTTTTTGGTATTTTCAGACTGTTACAGTAAAACACAACCTATCTGTCATAGAAAACAGAAAGAGTGTTTTATTTGCAATTGAGACTCTGCATCTAGGAGTACAGGTTTTCTTGTACTGAAGAGTGGGATAAAAACTTTGTCTAGTTTTCTGGATTCTTAAACTTGAGGCAAGGCAGTGACTGCCCAGTTAATTAATCTTGGCTTTTCATCTGGACAAAAGTCTTTCTATGTCTGCAAATTACATCTTGTGATGAGGATTATTGCTCATGGGGGTTGGGGGACATGGGCAGCATTCCTACTCCCCACCCACTGCCTCTGTTTAGTTTGGGCAAATTTTTAAAGGTCTGGGCAGATTCCAGTGATTCCATGTGAATTGAAAGACAGAGAATTGCTTCAGTTTCCTAATGTGCAGAATATGTATAGTTCTCATCTCACTGGGGTAGTAGACTCTTGTTGTGGTGTATAAAAAATACAAGAATTGCTTGCTCAAAGAAAGTGTCTTATACAAAGTAAGTGTTGAGATACAGTGTTCAGACCAAGTAAGTGTTGAAATTTTCAGTTCTATCAGTTTTGAAACTCTTCATTAGTAACAAGTGTTTATATTTAGAACCTACAGTATTAATGTATTAATTTCTATCAGTAGCATTACTGATAATTACCCCTGCTTTTAAAGATGAAAAAAATTGATATTGTAGACTTAGAACTAGAACCTCAATAGAATGGGAATTAGAACCATGGCTGGTTATAGTACTTAAAGCTTTCAAATATTAAATCATATTCCTTGTGGAAAACATAAATTGCATTTGCTTTTATCTATCAAAAAGGTAATACTGGAAAACTGTAGCATCTGATTTTTTTTTTTTTCTGTTATCTTTGTAATAAGGATCTTCTACATGGCACACTTTTTTCCCTGATATAAAATCAATTTATTACCCTTCAATGGAATTCTTCTTCCATGTGGGAAGGATTTGCAGGTGAATGTTTTTGTTCTCTTCTGTTTTGTTCTCTTTGTTGTTAAAATTAATACAAATGTATTTTTATCTTTTAGCTGAACTTGGCAGATGTTTTTATGAATCAAGCAATTCATACCATTGAATATTGTCTGGGATGCATCTCTAACACAGCCTCATACCTGAGACTCTGGGCATTGAGTCTTGCTCATGCACGTAAGTGGGGGTGGGTTTTTTAATATTTTTTGATTTTTTTCCCCTACATCTGTATTTTTAATGCTGTTAGAGGGAGGCTGGCCTGTTCAAGTGATACTAAATGAAATACACTTTTTCTTAATTTAAAGAAAAAAATCCCTATTTCAACTAACCATGACCTCTGGAGGCCTCCAAACTAAAGCTGTGACTTTATGTAAAATATTGCTCTCAGTAGATCTGATTTTGACACTGAGGTGTATCTAAACATTTGAGGGGATGGGGGCAGCTCTCTGGAGAGGGGAATTGCTTATAGCTCACATGTTCAGCAGGTGCTCTTATATTGGTTAAATGAACAGGTCAGAGTGGCTCAGTGGGTGAAGATACTCAGTACCAACATTTAATTATGGCAACTTTCTGGTTTTTATTAGAGTTATCAGAAATTCTGTGGCAGATGGTGTTGAGGATGGGTCTCCGTGTGGATACGAAGTTCGGTGTCTTGCTGCTAATCCCTGTTCTGGCATTCTTTGCTGTGCTGACAGTTTTTATTCTGCTGGTCATGGAGGGGCTTTCTGCTTTTCTCCATGCAATACGACTTCACTGGTACGCTCATTTTTTTCTATATTCCACTTCAGCACGTGTTGGCTCCTTTAAGAGGAATTTTTATGGCAAAATTTTAGGTGTCTTATTAAAAAGGGAAAGTGTATAATTCAACAGCCTCATTGCTACTGAAATACATTTATTTAGTTATATTAAATAAATGGCTTGTTAGTTGGATTTGATTGTTCCTCTGGAATATTTTCAGTAGATTCAAATATTATATTGGCTTATGATACATTTTAACTTCAACCACATTCACAAAATATAAGTACATTTGATTTGTACTTTTCATAATGTAGAATACTAATAACTTGGTTAAGTATTTTTAATTTTAGAGTCTGGTTATCTCACTATATGGTTTCAGTTCATTTATTACTGACTGGGGCTGCCAACCCTTAAGTATTTTAATCCTTTTTTTAATCTTGCTCTTACAAGCTCTGCACTTTGGAGTGGATTCAGAGCATGTTTGCTTTGAAATCTGATGAAATTTGCAAGACAGGAGGTACAGCTGCATACATGACAGGTTGTCCTGATGATATTGCATGTTTGCAAAACAATTGACTAGAACTCAGTAAGCCAGGAATAAGAAATGAGCCATTACAGCCCAGTTTAGTGCATGTGGATCTCCTGAGAAACATAAAGCTAGCCTGGGACTGCGATGGAAAGGTTAAATAGCTGCACAAAACAAGTGAGAGGATTGGAGTTGGTTTTATTCAGCTTCTTGGGTTGCACAGTTCTGTCCTTTGACAGCTAATTTTGGATTCATGTACAGATTCTGTTTTTTTCTCTCGTTTCAGGGTGGAATTTCAAAACAAATTCTATTCCGGTGGAGGATACAAGTTTACGCCTTTCTCTTTTAAGCACATTTCTTTAAATTTTAATAAAGATGGTGCATTATAATTTGGCTGCAGAAATGTTTGGAATTGTCTGCGAATAACTGCGTGATTGGATCTTGCCTATGAATGGTTTCTTGTGGAACAAAGTGGTTTTCACTGATTGCCTTATAACGCAGCCAAACAATTCTGTAAAGCATACCTCCTCTAGAAAGACATAGCAGAGCTGGAGCATCTTGTAAAATATATAGATATAAAATGTACACTTTTCTTCATAAACTAATGTTGTAAATTAATTTTATTCTTTAAAAAAAAAAAAAAAGTTGTTACTGCTTGTCCTGAAACCCATGTAGACTTTTTTTTTGAGTCTCTTTATTTTCTTGAATGGTTATTTTTAAGTTATCTGAAAGACTCTTCATTATATTAAACATTCATTACTAATCACATAACCCCGCTGCATCTTGTGCACTTTGGGAACCATTCAACAATGCAATACAAGCAATGTCTGTTTTCAATCTGTATTCCAGGATGATTATGAAATGTAAATTTATACACACCAATGCAATGTTGCTCTTTTTTGGCCGTATTTAAAATTGCACTGAAATTGTTATCTGTTCATTCTGGGTTCTGCCTGGAGTTAATACTTCAAGGTTTTGGAAGCCACACTGATATTTATATTTATATTTAAATTTAATGTTATGGAAGAAGGCAGGATTAGAAGTATTACTCCTCTTTTTTTCCCCTGTAGTGAGGAATAACTTTTGCACATGGAATAAAGAATTGGTCTCGATCCCTGTTTGTTTGGCTGTAAAGATATACAAACTGCATTCCCTGATATTGTAGAACCTAATTTATACCGCATAGGTGGACAGGGGTCGTTTTATATTATTTTTGTATCAGTCTGAAATTGGGGATATTGCTATGATATTTTAACATCTGTGCCATACAAACAGCACAAATTAAATTTTGCACTTGTTTCATACGAATTCCCAATAAAGCCTCGTTTGCGCTGTGCCGAGCGGGCCCTGTGTTTGTCCGTACCCTTTTCCCTGGCTCGGGCGGCGCTGAGGGGAACGAGCGGCTCTGAGGGGCGGCCGGTGCCGGGGGCAGCAGCGCCCGTGAGGGGCGGCGGGAACTGAGGGGAGCGAGCGGCCGGTGCTGAGGGAAGAGCGGCCGTGACGGACGGGTGGTGCTCAGGGGACCCTGCGCTCGTGAGGGGCCGCCCGTGCTGAGGGGAACGAGCTCCCGTGAGGGGCGGCGGCTGCTGCGGGGAGTCAGCGCTCGTGAGGGGCGGCGGGAACTGAGGGGACCGAGCGGCCGTGACAACCGGCCGGTATTGAGGGGAGCGAGCAGCCGTGACAACCGGCAGGTGTTGAGGCGAATGAGCGGCCGTGACAACCGGCAGGTGTTGAGGCGAATGAGCGGCCGTGACAACCGGCCGGTGTTGAGGCGAACGAGCGGCTGTTGCCGAGGGGAAGCAGCGCTCGCGACGGGCGGACCGTGTTGCGCAGCAAGGTCTGCGAGGGGCGGCCGCGCGGGGCGGGCTTAGTACGGGAGCACGGCCGCTCGAGGCGCCTCCTGAGGCGGGCACGGAGCCTCCCAAAGCGGGTTGAGGGCGGGCAGCAGCAGTCGCTCCACCCCTCATAGTTGCCGTGGCCACCGAGAGGCGTCGGGCCGGTTGCCGCCATGAGCCTGGACGACGTGCGGATGCGGTGGCTGCGGGACCGAGCGCTCGCCCTGCTGGGTCTGAGCGAGCCGGCGTCTTTCGAGGAGCTGCTGAGCCGCGGCGAGGATGCGCGGGTCGTGCTGCTCTTCCTCGGCCTTGGCCCCGAGGATACGAGCGGGGCGGGCGCGGCGCTGCTGCTGCTGCGGGCCGAGAGGCCCGGCCCGGACGGTGAGGAGGGGGTGGGAAAGGGTCCTCCTGCCCCGGCCCGCTAAGTTCTCCCTCGGTTGGCCTAGCCCAAACTCCCTGGTTCCCCCTCCCTCAAACCCCTCTTCGTCCCATCTGCTGAGTCGCAGCCCCATGACCCCTATCTATACCCTTTTTTCCTCTCTCCCTATCCCTTGGGCTGTGTTCTCCTGAACCCCTTCTATCCCACCCATTTCTAGAATTTTGTCCCCTCTATTTGCGGGATTTGCATCATCCCTCTGCGCTGTTATATCTATCATGCTTTCATCCCATTTTGCTTTTGTGCAGGTGGCACAAAGGAGCGTTTCTATGTGGCTTTTAATGAAATTCCCGAAGAGTTTGTGTCAAATTCTACTGTATATTTTCTGAGAGACACCAAAGGTATGTACCCTGAAGACCTGCAGCTTTAGCATTTTCAGTTTTGCATTAAACAGCACTTCCCATTGTGAAGATGGTAGAGACTGGAACTCAGGATAGTGCACATCCAACTTATTTAACTGGGTAGAAAAACGCTCAGAATAGAGCCAGGGTCAGGTATGCTTCATCGTTTAACAGCATTTCTGTGGAAGATTTTCCTCCTCTGTCTGCAGAGTAGGAGTTCAAATCAAGCCACTGTTCTTTTGAACATAAAAGGATATTCTAATTATCAGGCTTGGTTGTAAACACTTAGAACCAGGTGATTTGTGCCCTTTCTGAAAAAGCATTTGCACTATTAAAACCAGCACTAGTTTTGAACATCACTAATAGTGTTTTATTAGAGCTTTAACTTATTATGAAAATTACTTTGTACTTTCTGTATCAATTAATTAATTTATACTAATTTTTTGTATACTGTTTAGAAAGAGTTGCTGTGCCTAGTGACCTGACTGAAGCTAATAAGATTCTTCCTCAAGTGATAAAGTCTGGTATGCTGACTGATGATACTCTCTTGATGCTAAAGAATGCCATCTCACAGGTAAAAGAGTGACAGCTTTTATATATGGAATCTTGAGTGTTTCTAGGAGTGATTTTCCTATTTAATATTATATGGACTATGCTTAAGAAATATTAATATTTAATAAGTTATCTTCATATTTCAAAATGAAGCTTTTGTTAAACCTTATTTGCTATTCTGTTTCCCCATTTTTTCCCCTATTTGAGAATCATTTAAGTATAACATCAGACACCTCTATTTCAGTGATTACAGATTTTCATAATGGCACACTGCAGAACTTGAGGCAGAGAGAATGATGCTGAGGATGTGAAATGAGACACACTTAAATTAAATTTTAAAACAATATCTAATGATTAAGTACATTGATAGTAAGCTTTTTTTTTTTTTTTTTTTTTTTTTTTTAATATGAACCATCTAATCTGTGGCACCTGTTTCAATTCTAGCAGTTTTCAGCAGCTCTCTCCCATGGTCAGCAGCAGACTAAGAAAACTTCCTTTGATTCAGACAGTGAAAAGACAGATTCTGAAGAAGTGAATGTGTCTGAGACTGAACCTGTAAAGCCTGTGGAGGACTCTGATACTCTAACGAGGAGTGAAACTCAGCTGAGTATACCAGGTGAAGGAAATGTTCTGCCTCTGCCAGCACTGTGGTGGTTAGAGCACATGGCATCAGAACAAGGTTCACCTGAGAGTGGCTTTATGTAGAATGACAAATATATTTGGTTAAAGCTACTCTTTGCTGATACCAGCAGTGCTTTTCCCACCCTGAAGCATAGCAGGCAGCATGGAGAAATTGATGAAATCAGTGATAAGTCTTTCAAAGTGTTTGGAGTAAGAGTGGGAGATGGGGTGGACATGTTCAGTGGTGTCACGTTACCAATGCTGCCAGAGCAAGACGGTGTATTCCATGTGCATTTCTTCCAATAGGACATCTTAAACTGGAGATGCCAACTGGAAATCTAGATGGAGAAGTGACTGTTCTTGCCACAGTTCCAGAAGTGGTTCAGTCTCTGAAAAGCTGTGCAGTGACCTGGCAGAAATTAATATCCAGAGTTCTGGAGGAGGAACTGGAAAAGGTTCCACAGGTAACGTTGCCTGTAACACCAAGATCCTTTTATTCCTGGAGATTTTGCTTCATTTCCCCACAAAGAACTGTGTTAATTTTTAATTCCTTTTCGTGTTTGATTGTTGGAAAACCATTTGCTAATTCTTGAAAAGTAGAACAAAAGTGTGAGGAACTGTGTGGCTCTGGGAAGTAGAATATAAATAAAATATGAGATAATTCACTGCAGATCTTACCCACACAGGATAACTGGAAAATGAAGGGACTTTTGTTATCTGCTCTTTTCTAAAGAGACAAGAAATATTAAAAGCTGCACTGAGTATTTTTTTTAATAGAGAGCTATATTTTTTCTTTTTTTTTTCAAAAAAGTGATCTCAAACAAAAGAAAAAATTCTTATTTTCAGGTTTTGATTCTGCAAACACATATATTACCAATATCACTAAACATGCTGAGTGATTTTATGTCTATAAAGTTACCTGTGCAAAAGCCATAAGCTCAGGGATATACTCCCCATGAGCAGTTCCCTTCAGTGTGTGTACAACTCTTTATTTCAGGGGTCTTCTGTCCGGCTTTTTGCATGGCTAAATCATATCAGGTTTATCTCAGCATAAAGTTTACTGGAAAGAAGGAACAAATATAATTCTGATTATAAGTATTCACTCTTGCATAATGCTAATTCAGCTTTTTTTATTTGATCCCACATTACTTGTAGGGTAATAGTCCACTTGCAGAGATTTACCTCTGGCGTGAAAAAAATGCTACTTTAAGTGCTCTTACGGAACAATTAAAGCTTCCAGAGGTGCAAAAAGTCCTGGAAATACTACAGGAAGCTGAATCTAAGTTTACTGGAGATTTGCAGATAGTCTTAAGTGACCTCAAAAAACATCACATGCAAGCTCAAGATAATGCTAAGTTTCTCTCAACTCTTGAACGCCATTTGAAGGTACCTATCCTTGAGAAAACTTGGTGAAGTTTGAACTCCCCTGAGTTTGATTTCTCTGTTGATGTAATCACCTCTTGTTTATTTTTTCACTTTTTAGCAGCAATAAAGAGATATGCTAGATTAACAAATCATATTTAATTTTAAGAAAGAATTGCTTATTTTGTTTCAGTTTCAGTGGTTCTAAAGTTTGAAAGTTCAGAGCTGTGAGCACTTGGTTTGTAGTCCAGCTGTGGGAGTTTTGATGGCATAGCTGAACTGGGGAAAACAAAGATTTCTCTATTCCATTTTTTAGGTAGTTTCTACCACAAATTACAGCTGATGTTTCAAAGTTTAAATTGTATTGAAGATCATTCAAACAAAGAGTTGAGTCAAAATTTAAAATCAGGACCTAAAATAATTTGGAGCAAAAGGTGCAGATTTGCACATCTTTAACCACATGTGTTATTTAGGCACCAGG